CTGTGGAAAAATAGAGATTAGCTGCATATAACTGGTATGCTGTAATGATCGTGTCGCAGACAACCCGCGAGCTTTGAATGAAACATTTTGTCTTCTAGGTATGCCCAACAAACAGATTATAATGGAAATGATGAGCTGCTAGCGGGGCAAATGTAGCCATACTATAGACAAAAATCACGGGTAGATGGCATGGCCAATTCTCAAGTACACACCCGCTTGTATGCAGTCCGTTAAAGCCCGTGTGCTGTAGGCCTATCCGGCGCAAAGAAAACACAAACAAGATGAGTCGATCGATTATGTTATCCCAACTCCTAAAGCACACATCTTCGGATGATACCCCCCCCCTTTAGAAAATAAAACCAAAATCCGTGGTGATGCTCCCTACAAGCCCGGGCGCCAGGTTGTCGCCGGCCCCTGCATGGACCCATTCAACGCAGGCGTTTCCCCGTAGCGCGAGGGCCACCGATCCGTTGTATAGGTAGACAACGCCGCAGACGAGTTGAGAGAATGGAAAAGTTGACACCCATACATTCGTCCCACAAAAAGGAAAGAAAAAGATGTCTCCTTGGGTGACAACTACGAGAATTGCCCAATTGTAGCAATGAAGCCCTTGTACTGACAAGGTGCTAAAATGAATTGCCGTGCGCTTTCCTCTGCCACAGGAAGGCTTTTCTCAATTGCAGCAATAAAATTGGGAATGCGATCTGGTTGAGACCTGTTGTCCGTTCAGTGAGGGGCTCCTCGGTGTTTGGGACGGCACTTAAATTCGACGCTCATCGCACCTTAAGTGTGAAAGAAGTTACCTTGGCGCCGGCTCAGAAGTTTGATATTTGTTATTGACCATTTCGGACCTGGGGATTTTTTCCCCTTTATACACCGTCTGACTTCTTTGGTGAACACGTCGCTGTGTGTCACTGGAAAGAAATTCCGACAATTCCACAAAGCAGAAATAGGAATCATAGTACAAGACGTGTGAATGTGTGCGCTAACCTTACATACTTACTAGTGAGGACTTGTTAACAAAACATGTCCACACGATGCAGGAAGGGAAGACGATCTGTGGACTAACCCATGTCCTTAGGACGTTTCCCCTTCTCTGAAATTAGTTCAGAGGCATTAAGGGTTAAGGTTTTTTTGTCGTAAAAGGAAGGGGAACAGCTCAAGAAACCTTTTTACAAAAATACAGCTGAAAATCGTGTTCTTGCAGTTCTGGAAATTCAGTATTGTCAACGAGTTTTCTTAACTTCACAAAAACAAAGGAATCTCCATACTTGTGGGTTGGAGCCTGTGTGTGTGTGGGGGGGCAGGTCTTATATTGAGGTATACTTTAATTCAACATAATCATTTGTCCTTAAATAAAACAAATTTACGCACGGCCGTTCTAACGAAATAACCACGACTATGTAGGTAAATGGAATCTCACTTAAAAATCGCGATTTAACTCGGGCCTGTAGGAGACAGTAAATACGTGTATCTTCTGTTACTATTTAACAGCGTGAAGTGACAGTTTAGGATGAAAGACTAGTCGTGTTTGTCCATAGTTTCGTCCGGTCATTCACGAAAGCGTGAAGTGGCCACTTCGCTTCCACCGTTTCTGGCTACAGCCAATGGGCTCGCGTCTCGCCGTAAGCTGCGCCTTACCAGCTTCCGTGGCGCCGCTGCTGTTCACCTCCCCCCCCCTTCGTTTTACCCCTTCCTCTCGCTCGACGACGTGAAAGCACCTTGAGTTTCATTTACTCATCTAATCAGCTTGAACGTTCCACCCACTTGAGGGGACAAAACTTGACGAACAATTCACCTTCCAGTCGTTTACTTTTCGCACCACGTCAAGTTGCTTCAGTTGACGGGGTTGGACCAACTGTCGCCTTTCGGCCAACAATCTTAGCTCCCCCGTGTTTGCAGAGTGTCTATACGTTAGGACATGAGAGAACAAACCCATACCCTTCATTGCTGGGCTTGTGAATGTTTGTGGGAGTAGCTTAACTGGTGTGAAATGGGGGGGGGGATGGGGAATCGTACATCTTTTTTAGAGGGACGGCTCGTTTATGGGTTAATATATGCTCATGTCAAGATGTTGAACTCGCAAGGAGCGTAGTTGAGCCTTTCGTGCCATCTGACGTCAAATCCACTCGACAAAGCGAAACTCCTTAGTCCCATACAATAAGAATTTAGCTTCTGTCAGACAGTACAGACTGCCCAATATGCCGTCCTATCTCATGAAAATTGCCTTTTCCCACAAATTTTCAGCAACCGATTAGCCCCAGCATGTGACCTGCCCGTTATGAACTATGAATTAACTCAAACTTGCATGCAAGTCCTACATTATTAGAAAACTGCGCGAAAAAAGGGTTCGATTTAACCGGCAAACTTTGAAATATTACTCACATTTCTTATCTATATGTACAACATTTCGAGAGAAACAAACACAAGTTGAATCACATCAGATCGCTTATCATGTTCTGCCTTCATATATGTTCGGAAATAAAAGCAAAGTTTAAAGGTAGTTTTGTTTTGAATTATTCTACCATCGAATCACGGCTGCCTAATTGTTATAAATTATTCGGCTATAAATCGACGAAGACCAAGCCAGCAGTTTCCTGTTATACAAAAAAACCAGGCGCTTTCTACTGGTGCAGTGTTCGAGAGGCTAACGGCATTAAGAAGGGATTTATACCAATAATAATGCATTCATTGTAATTCAACCAGCATTATCAAAAATATGGATTGCAATTCGCAGGTCAATATAGAAGCATACGCTGACTTTTTAAAATTACAAATACTAACTGTAGGCGTGCATGTCATCGGTGAAGTTATATAAAGGATGCTAATTTGAGATGAGCACAACTTGTCACATTATATGCTGAGATATTTAATTTACGGTGACCTAGGCACAGGTATAAAGTTTTATGTGCTTTTAATTTTTCCTTGCTGTTGAGTTTACTGTTACTTTTATCAGAAAGGTTTGAGAAAGATTCTAAATGTAAAATCAGACAATGATGAACGCTTCTCACATAATCGGGTCTGAGAAAAACCATTTAAACAGTTGTTCTCTTTAGAAAGTTGAGCAGTTTTCAACAGCATAAAGGACTGAGAATGAATGCATTTAGTGGTCATCTTTCGATTAGAAATCAAAAGCAAAAGGTTCGAGAAGCAATGGAAAAGGCCCACTTTACAGCAGGATGTCAATTAACAATCTGCACAGTTAACTGCAGACTCGACCAAGACAAGTGAGGGCGGGCTTCAGCAGTAGCGGAGCCGCTCCATTGTTTTCCACGGGGTTGATGACAAGTAGTGATTATTTTAAGCCGCCTCCTATCGTAGAGTATAAAGCTCAGATCTTCCTCACTGTGTAGAGCACAATTTAACGTACATGTATTCATGCCTCCATCTGACACATAAGGGGGAAAATGAAGGAAACTAAATAGCCGCATGAGATGATAACATAAACACACTATTTGGCTTTGTGTGCACAGAAATACCGCTTACACGTTCCAATCAGTTCCAGAGATAACAGGGACGCCTGGGCGGGGATAACGGAGCCAACTGGCCTGGTCGACCCGCCAAGAGACGTGATAAAGACTAACTACACGACCACACCGTAGCCTGGTCCCTCTTTCCCCACTGGCGTGGGTACAATGCTAGCCTCGTAGTGTTATAGGCTGGATATGCGATGCACATGGTGCATAGACATACGCACGTAGTATAGCCTAAACGTGGCGCTCCCTATTCCCCTCAGACCCGCTCCGATCGAAATTCTATTAACTTCCCGAAATCCCTTTCCCCGAGCCATGGCGATGAAAAGAGGACACCAGAACACAAGCCCATGCTCTCGATGAAAAAAACCCAGAAGTGAAAAGCCGCGCGGTCCGCAAACTAGGTCTGAAACAATGGGCAAGCTTCTTCAGACAGCGAGCCTGTCGGTGGCCGGCTGTGTCTGCTTTTCCCATATGTTTTTGTAGGAATTAATCATCCATCGCGGAGCCTGGCGCCAGCTAGGTTTAGTAGCTGTGTCCCCTGAATGGGGCGGTTCAGCCCGCCACAAAGGGATTTCACACCTCGCGTGTTTTCTCTGGCGCTTATTAATTATGTTAACACTTTAGCCAGTCAACAACAATTATCTCTAGCTTGGCGCTGATTGGCTGGAGGTGGGAATGTCGCGCGGTAACTGTCAATCACGAGTGTAATTATTGATAATAGGCCTCTTTGGTACAGACACCCCTGTAGTATGATTTCAAGTGGTGCGATTTCAACAGCGTTAATACCCAAGCCACCCCTCTCGGCGGTGATAGTAATATTGATCAAAATCGTTCGTGTAGGCTCAAAACAAAACCCTTTACCGTTAGTCCCATCCCGACTGGACACACTATCATTTCAATTGTTTCGTGGTCACGAATCGGGGCCGAAAAACGTGTTTTAATCCAGCATTTTTGGCGTAATATTCGTGCAGTGGGCCAACAAAGTGGCTGGAAGAACATCGGAGCCTTACGTTATAACAACTCATTCAACGTGCAGTAGTCTCTTTACTTTGGCCCCTGAACATGGATAAGAACGGTTGCCACGCGCGCACGCATTTTGCGCCTAACCTTTGTAGCTTAGTGATACTCGGTTCGCACTGTCGACGCCAGTGAACACACAGTGCTCGTCTGCATATAAAATGAGGGAAGGGTCGAACCAGCTACGAAAAGACACTATGTTTTTCTGTTACATGTTTCCATTAATGTTTCCCTTCCCGTAAATGCTTGCATCCATTGGGTCATGAGCTATGCCCCTCACGGGTCCTCCCCTGTTCCCTGCCGCTGAACGTGCCGAACGGCCGGCGGGTTAGCGAACCCTCCTGCTATAGTTTATGCCGACTGCGGGGCCCCTTTGGTACAGTTTAGTGAATGACAACAAGATACCGAGACAACGCTCATTGTGTGCGCTGGCTCCACTGGCGCCAGCAGTACTTAGGCATTTGCGTCCAAATGGAATGTTGCAACGGCTAATCACCTTAGATGTCCCCGCATCATTTTCACGCTTTTAACAGGCCCGCCTACCAATGCCTGGCTATAAATATTACAATAGGGTGATCGGCGCAGATCGGTTTCGACAAGGGTGAGGTAAAAAATAAAACACAAAATTAACCTCACAGAAAATGCAGGCACAATTTACTGCTTTTTGGTAACTGGAACATCATGCTATCCACGAAGAATCCGCTGTGGACAATTGGGAGAAATAGTTGAGGAGGCTACTGGAGGTAATTTACTCGAGAAAAAAAACATGACCGTTCAGTGGTAAAAATAGTCAACAGAAACACGAGGTTGAAAAGGATGGGCCTGGGATTTTGACACCTCTGGCCGTCAGTCTCCGAGTGAGGGGCGTGCCAAACGAGCGCCAACATCGCCGTCCGTGATGACACCGTGCCGACGGTAAACCAGCCAGTCACAGGCCAGGCCAAGCATCTATTCTATAGACTGCTCTAGAGACAGGCCGGTCTTGGAGATACACATCACGCACGGTTCGGTCGGGACTTGAGCGCACCGTGTACTTCAACATCACTGCATTGCGTGCACGGCGTGATGCTGGCCTTATAACTGTATCTCTCGAAACACCGACCAGCAAATTACACTGCGATAGTGCGACTGGTATTTGTGGACTACCACGCACACGAGACCAAAAATTACTCGTGCTGATTTTACCGTGCCCTTGCCCGGCGAAGGGGGAAAGTTATGCCCACGGGTAACGGAGTGGAATTTTCACCCGTGTTTACGCATTTAAGGACTGATTTTCAGCTCTTTTATTTCGTCCCTACATTTTTACGACCTGCAGGTTTGAGTCTTCGGAATAAGCTGTCTTGATCGACCAGCTAGCAGGGGACTCCTATTGGACAGTGCGTGCCAAATAACCAATCAAGCTGCGTGCCTCATTACTCCAGCGGTGTTCCTGTCTCGGCTTCGTCGGAGCTGGAGTCGAATGAGTTACTCGGATCCCAGCAGGAAGTACGGGAGACTGGTTAAATCCAGACCTGGCGCAGTTGTTCGCTAGTCCGCAGCGGCAGCAGCGGTGATACCTCTGACCGTACTTGGCCGTGTCTGCACGGTAGCTGGCCGGCGCGGCAGACACCGCACGCATCAACTCCATCTTCGGGACTCTAACCTCCCGGACTTTCTTTTCGCATGAAGCAAGCCGAGCTCCCGTCCACTTTCCCCGCCATGGCCTACGCACCGATACTGCCCCCGCGGCTGAGTGACTTCTCGGTGAACTCGTTGCTAACGCAGCCGCACTTCTTCCCGGGCGTGTTCCGGGGCCACAGCTTACCGGGTGCACCGGGGGCCAACGCGAGCAGTGTGCCGACCGGCTTCCCTGTGCCCAAACTGGGCGACCTGCACAACCCGTACACGGCGCTACAGGCCGACCTGTTGGCGGCGCACAACCACAGGCACACCATGCAACAAATCCACGGCATCGAGCCCCAGGAAAGCGACACGGACGACCCTCAAGTCACGCTGGAATCCAAGGAACTCTGGGATCAATTTCACAAAAGGGGGACGGAGATGGTCATCACTAAATCCGGACGGTAAGTCTTGACTTAAGAAGTTACATTTGCAACTCTGGGTAAAACCTATGTAACGCCTCAATAGTTATAGTCTTTACTCTTAATTTAAAAAAACAAAACTGTTGTAGACAATTTCTGTAAATACTCTTTGAAAAGATTCCACCTGTCAGCAGATATTGTAGCTCAACTTGTGGGGTTGTAAGCTCTTAATTATCCCACGTTTGTCCCGAGTCTGTGCCCTGCATTCCACGTGCTCTTAGCTCTGTGTACACGCGCGCGCACTATCTGCCATACACAGCTGTCTGTATTATGACGGTGATTCTACAAACAGCGGCATGAAATGGCCCGCGGCAAGTTGGGAAAAAACCGGGAACAATCATCTCTGATTTTGTGCTACAGAAAGTGGAAGTCCTTGTTCAACTTGACTTCGACGGAGAAAAAAAAGTTCCGACAATGAGGGAATAGCGTGGTTTGTACACTCCCGTCATCACACTTACGAGCCTTACCGTGATTGATACGCATGGGCCCGAGGGGGCTAACTTCTACCCCGATAAGGCCCCTGATGAGCGCCTGCTCCAGTGCTACCTTGACGAAACACACTTAAAATAATCTTTCCTTTGTGCACTAAAAATCAGGTGAACTCTAAGTTAAACCTCAACAAACGATGCAAAATACTAGAAAAGTGATCTTAACACTACTTGCTATAGCCTAGGCCTTCCCTGTTATATTATACTAGTTTTGTACTTACCATGCCAGCTTCATACCCGGCCTGATTAAAACTTGACACTTTTTCAATTTCGTCACAATTCATTAAAACAACAAAGTATTTACACAGTTTGGTTTTTAACAACTTAATGGTATAAGTCGACATTTGGTCTCATTTAGATTTTTATCTTTGTTTTCTCAGGCAGCCCATTTTGGCGAACATGATAATTTCCACACGATAACAAATGAGACTGCCATTAATTGACCCGCTTTCCTTGTCATATTTGGTGATAACAGTTTATGCCTAATGGCCGTGTAATCACACACAGGTTGCCTGGCCATTCTCAGCGTTAAATGACAGGCCCAGATTAGCATTTTCAATACCGTACGCTACAAGTAGCTCTCAATTCATCCCTACAAAAACAAAGACAGTTATCTCTGTTGAGAGATACTTTGTATCGTTTTCTTTTTTATCTTTGTGGAAAAAATTACAGATGGCCAAGTTCTAGGGTTCCCTCCGCAACGCCAATCCACTTCACACACGCAATGGTTGATAACAGTGCGGGTTTCCTTTGCGAGCATAAAGTGCTCTTCTTTTAAGGAAGTTGTACTTCAAATGTTCGATATTGTTTTAGTGCCTGGAAGCCTTTGAAGGAATATTATTCAGACGAATTCGATTGCTGTTCACTAGCGCCAGAAAGAGTTCAAGAAATGCGTTTCATTGATGGACGCCTCTTGATGTACGACAGAAACATGCGTACTCGTGTGTCTTTCCTCGCATTATTTACATGTTCACATGCTCAGGTCTCTTATGACTACAAGCATTGATAATGTAACCGCAAATCCCAAGTCTTGATCACGTAAGTGAAAATTTCAGGAAAAAGAATGTGATTTGTTCTAACTTTTCCAGCACAGTGACATTGGACACGCCCGGAGAGTCTTCCCAAGAATCCAAATACGATAGTTGTCACAGTCTCTGATTTTTTTCACTGGCGTCATGGCAATATACCGGTCACTTCGTAACTTGAGACAGAGCAAGAGCTAGCCCCTTAATAAGATATCCGAAAATCGCAGAGTTCTGGTCGATCGCTGCGTCCAGAATAAGTCTCTACGCTTGTCCTGTGTCAAAGCTTTCGCAAGTACAAATGCTTAATGCGCGTTACAGCTGCTAGAAGATGCAGATCACTATCTTTGAACGCTGTGTTTGCGATATTAGTTTGGAAATCGTAAACATTACTGCCAGTTGATGAGCTTTGCTTGACTTTCCTATCTGTTTTTGCATTGACAGAGACAAAAAATACTCACTTAACCATGAGCACATCAGTGTTGTTGAATAATAGCAAACTCATTTGACGACCAGTCCTTAGTATAGTAGGTTTCTAGTGTTCAATCTTGAAAGCCGTTTGGGTCTGACCGATGCATCGTGCTTGAGAAGTTGGTGTCCACTTTTGAGTCGCATTTTAGTGAATTTTACTCGATTCTACGTAGGGAATAATTAAGTCACATTGTCAGGTGCGAATATAAGGAAGAGTGCCACAACATCCGAAAGCGTTGAAATCAAATGTTCATACAGCGCTATTCACCTTATCGCCCAAAAGGAAGACCTTTCGTGTACTTTCACATTACCGAAGGTCGAATGTCACGGTATGTGACAACTTTCGTGATTAATGAAGATGTCTCTAGTTTGTTCGTAACTTCTTTTTTTTCAAAATTTACGCGCATGACTCTAAGTTCACAAGAAACAGTGGATGAGGTACGAATCCCATGCTTTGGACGTCAGTTTGTAACGTACTTTGGCAGATGTGATGACGCGATAGGGGAAGTGCATTTCCTCCGAGTGGATTGTCACAACCCGTTGGCTGCATGACTACAAGGCTCTTTTAGAGAGTGAAAAGAACAGAAATAAATTCTTTACCAACAGAATTCCTGTTTTTCTGTGCCGAGCCAAGTAAAGGTCTCTCTGATCAGCACTTTTAGGGAGATTCTGTAGCACAGAATGGCGTCTACATGGTTCCCTGTTTCTCTATCAAACGCACCCAGGAGAGTGAAAAATGTCCAATTGATGATTATAATAATAATTTTTTTAAATTCTTAGACTGTGTAAATGATTATCATCACGAAGTTATGCAATGTGTGGCGGTGTGGGGTCCGTTGAAATGAAATAATTTGATCGAAATCACACAGCGATAATGTCTTGCCCTTTTCCATATTACTCGAAATATCCATCGGTTTACGGGCGAGGTGGCCTCATTTCCACTCAAATCTCAGCGTTGCATTTTGTTATCTTGTCATTTCTGGAGTCAAATTTTGAAGTCGAAAGCTTACGCGAGGTTTTGCAGCTGTCGTATTTCTCTTGTTTGACCTTCAGTTATTTTAAGAATGCTATGCAAGATGGGCTTAAGTGTTCTGGTTTTATGAAGACGCAGAATCCAACACGCAGCTGTACTCATTTCGAGCATTTGAAATTCACACGATTTCAACTGATTCCGCTTTTATTTGACCGTGCACTAACTTGTCCCTTCTCTCCACCCTCTTGCCCACATCAGGCGAATGTTCCCTTCCTTCAAAGTTCGAGTCTCGGGCCTCGACAAGAAGGCCAAATACATCCTACTCATGGACATCGTGGCCGCCGATGACTGCCGCTACAAGTTCCACAACTCCCGCTGGATGGTAGCGGGCAAGGCCGACCCTGAGATGCCAAAGCGCATGTACATCCATCCCGACTCGCCCAGCACCGGCGAACAGTGGATGCAGAAAACGGTCTCCTTCCATAAGCTCAAACTCACCAACAACATCTCAGACAAGCACGGCTTTGTAAGTGCACCCTTTTCTTGCCACTTTGAAAAATTACTTCTTGGGTGATCTCATCGGAGACCCCTTCGCGCAGATGTAAAAACGTTCACTCGCGTCTAACGTTTTTCGCATGATTAGCACAAAGGAAGTCTCTTGATTTCATCCCAGCCTCAAACGTTGATGTACATGTTAGCAGGAATGGAAAATATATTGATCAGAAACGAGCGCAACCAGTTAGCGAGATATCAAGGATGAACAGAAACGTCCAAGGTTAAGTCTTCCAGTTTGTATCACAGAAGACAGATTGCATTCTGCGTTGTTACATTTTTTCGTCTCTTTTGATTATCTTTCAAAAACAAAGTTGCATTCCGAAAGAGCTGACAACATTTTCTCATAAATATAGTTTGGGCAAGCTTACCTAATTTGACGTTTTTATCTAAAGCCCCAAATGTCTAGTCGCTCGGTTTTTTATACATTCAAATGAATAGGTCCTTTCAGTATTGCGTCCGCGCAAACACAACTCATGCCTACCAGCAATTTCGTCAAGTCTCTTGGCTTTTTATTGAGCAGAGGGGAAACCATATCTCACCAACCTACCAGTAACTTACTATAAATCGTAATGCTCGCCAGGTTTAGCTTGTTCTAGAAAAGTAAAATCTCCAGTACTGTTGTGCAGCAGCCGTACCAGGATCACATTTTAAAATGTAATCCTTCGTGGGTACTTACAACTAGTAATGTAATTGGAAAATAAAGCAAATGGATCGTGCAGTCTGATTTATCTTCGTTCTCGAAAAGATTGTGTATTTATGACTGTGGCATACTGGTATATTATGCACACCGTGTTCTTTGCGTAAGTTGTTCACGTTAAAGATTTCTCATCCGCTGAAACATTGCGTGATTTACACAGCGTGGCATTTGAGTTACAACTGGAATTGAGAGCTAATACAAAATTTGTTATTCAGATCTCTTGCGGGAACATGGACACATTCAATCACGTGGTTCACTGTTTACACAATGTTAAAATTTTTGCAAATTTACTCCAGTAAAGTTGAAATAGAGTTACTGGTGCCGCATTTTCTTCACGATCGTAATTTTCATTTTCCCTGCGGATTGTGACAAAGACATAGCTGCTCTTCTTAACTCTTATTCATTGAAATCTTGGTAAGTTACTGCTTTTTTAAAAAATACAAACAGGGCAGAACTTGTAAAAATTATGCGCACGTGATGTATTGTACACGTACAGTACAGACATGTGTCTTAGGGTTTGCCTGTAATCAGATCTCCACGTAGGTTTTATAATTCAATAGTTCTACAAAGTTTTCTCAATAGGGAATCGCATTACACTGTTCTTTGGGGGGAAAACCAGAAAGTTATGCTGACGCGTGACTGTATTTGTATGTCATGTTACAATGTTTATCGGTGATATGAGGCTAGGGGTTAACCTTGCTAGAAAACTGACCTCTGGCAAACGTTGGCACTGACATTCGAAAGCTTTCCAGTTGTTAAAAAAAATAGCGCCAAGTTATAAGAGGAGGTCATGGTAGTTGTACCGTGGGTCGGTTCAAAGCGTTCACATTGAGCAGATTTTCATAGCACACTCTCCTCAACGCTTCAGGTTCCTAGTTCTTATTGCAATCAAGTTTCTTGTTAATTCCAGACAAAAAGGATATTAACAAAGCGCTTAAAATAAGGATTAAAAAATAGAATTTTTACTAATCTTTTTTGGGGGTTTCTTTTTTTTTTGTTCAACAACCAAGCTGTGGAGTTTTTTGGTGAGTGTTTTTTTGCCTGTAAATACATATGCATCTGTTGTGTTCACGCACACGACTGTATTATGCCGGATGAGGATTTGTACTGTCACCTTTTTTAACTGGTAATGGTATTCATTGAGCTTTTCAGTGCCATCGTCATGCAATACAAACATATCCTCCAGTTTTGAGGCATGCATTGCCTTGAAACTGTCTCGCATGTGTGGGCCTATGGGGAAACATTCAATACCAGAGAAATAATACATCCGGAGCATATTCACATTGCAGTCGACTATTCAAGCGTTTTTCATAAACCAAAGGTTAAACAGTCATGCCTGGCGCCGACCTACCTGTGCAATCGGTACATTACTTATAACTAAACCCAGCATGTAATTCTTAATTCAAATTTCCTGATATCAATCTTTTATGCGTTGTACCGGAGTGAAACAACACAAGGATAACGCATGCCCCGCACGGTCAGACGAATGACTAATTTGTTTGGAAAGAGAGGTATGTTAAATCAGTTCTTTCTGCGATTTATAGGCCCATTTTGGGAAAGTGGAATGTTTATTGTGGGATTTTGTAGTTTCGGCTGCATTCAGTAGCCTTTTTGATGTTTTTGTGAAAATTGGTGCAAGTGAGACACGCGTGCAGTCAACTGTTACATATTTTAAGAGTGTTGTGTATACAGGCGTTAAGGTTCAATTTTGAAATGCTGAAATACAAGCAGTTGAGTTTCCTCCGCTTTTAACGCATCTGTGCGGGCTGCAATTTGAGATCGGTTTCATTGTCTGATAAAATACATGACCGCAATACGTGCAGAATCGTGGCATGGGTTAATATAGGATATTCTTTACCGCCTCCATTTCTTGCTGGTTATTAATGACAATAAAAACGCTGCAATCTTGTTCCGGCTCCGCGCTGCGTGTTATTTCTGTATTGCCGCGCGAGGCCGGGGCTCCGCGCCGAAACCTTAAGATGGCAATTTTTGTCCCAGTTCGCGTTTGGACTTTGGATGGCGCTAGAGACGGGAGATTGTGGTAACCTAATATTAGTTTGAAAAGTGCGATTATGATGGCTATGAGGCATTTCTCACACACCTCACGTTGCAAGGGGTCCCGTCGATGTATCTGGTTAGAGCCTCTGTGTCTTCATATCGCCAGCAATCTTACCTTCCGTACCGGGAGGAGACGTGTCGTGTCAGCGCGATCGCCTCTGCTGAAGTCGCCCCGTCGTCACGTTTTAAGGGTAACTCGCCGGTGATAGAAAGTCAATGTACAACCTGTGCACAAAGGCACTGCATCTTTTAGAAATTAGGTCTATTCTTGGGGTCGAGATTAAATGTGTTGGGCAAACACAGCAAATTGACACGGGTTAAGGCAGGAATAAATCAAGTTTGGGGGTAAGGTGGTCTGGGCTTTTTCTCGCCTAGAGCGCGGAGGTGATTACACTTTGTGAGTTACTTTCCCCCTGTGTCTGCACTCTTCTCTGCTCAGTCCTGGCACACGGGCCTGGACGTGTGTTCTTTCTGTCTTCCCTTTCGGCGTCAAAGCCGCAGCGTTGCATTCGAAGGGATACCATACTCGACGGCCGTCCAGGATGGATGGAGCAACTGGGCCCTGCGGTCCGACCAGTTTGCCAGGCCGTCACCCGGCCCCCCACGCCTCAGAATCAACGCTGAAATCACTCCTGTTCAAACGCGACGCCGATGTCTGTTTCCCTTCAAATCGATTTCAAAGCTCAGTTTCCATTCGCTGCGCGGGTGCGGACAACTCAACAAAAGAACCCAAAGACATCAGTCAAGAGAAACTGTTTTCCTCTTCTGTCTATATTAAAGAGAGCCGACCCTGTTGTTAAAAGAAAATCCCAGACAAAAACTGACACTGTCAACACAGTGAATCGAGGAGTGACTTATTCACACGCATGAGAACAAATATTTTATCATGAGACATTTCCAAAGGACCTTTTCAAGCCTGGCCTATTGCATGTTTTATAGATTCCTGAAGGAAAAAAATCTACCCATAAGTTGGCAAATTGGCTTGGGGCGAAGCGGGCTGTCGGACCTGAAGTACAAAAGGTACTGGAGCCGTTCGATGGCGACAACTGGCAACCGGTGAAAGGGAGCCCTGTTAAAATCGTTTTGAAAACGTGCACGAATTCACACTTTCGCCGTTTCAATTTGTGTCGGTTTTAGAGTTGAAATCCTCAATCTCTGCTAAGATATGTAAGGCTTGACATTTTTTGATGGATTGCCTTTTCACATTGCAAATAATGATCGGATTTGGTCGCTCTGACAAGCGTTTTCGGCCTGACTTACTAAATACCGCCGCCACACACAAGGTGCTTGCACGCAGGACAGGGAGTTCTACTCTCACCCACAAAGAAAAGCCGTGTATCCCCGCCAAATTTGCTCCGTCATTTTCCTTAAAAGATACAATCGCTGCTCCAATACAAAAAAGCTAAATGTAGCCAGGTAGGCTGCCTTTTTTATTGCAGAAAGGAGGATCAATAGTGACACTGTCCTTAGGACACATCTATTTTTAATAAAGCAGCAACACCACTGGGAGTTTCTCATTACTGTGTTTATGATTCATATTTTCACACTTGGGGCTAGACGTGGCGGCTGGAGAATATAGAATTCTACTATTATTTGGTTTTTTTTGCGCCTAGCCCCTAATATCCATGCGCTTCCTTCACAGGCCTTGTGCACCGAGTATATTGATAGTGTTTAATAACAGCGAAGATGCTTGGCGTTGCCGGTGGGGTTACAGCGAGCTGTACACGGTGTTAACAGCGGGAACCTCACTCGCCTTTGCCTGCTCAATTTGCGGGAACATTTTCCCTCTACGCTGACACTACGTAGAATCGACGACAAAAAGAAAGTCTCCTTTGTTTGCTGAACAGGAGACAGGAAGTTTTATTCTATAGATTACTTATAAAAAAACAAGAGCGTGAGATGTTAGCTTCAGGAATGTTGCATTATCGAGCATTTGGAGTAAGAATGTCTAGACTCTTTTCAAGAAGTATCTGAAATAAAAGGAAATGATTGTAGCATAATTTGCATCAAACAATGATTAGGGCCTACTAATTATTTGGAAATAAAGAATCTCCAGGAAATGATATGTGCGACGCTGGTTAAGTGAAACCTTCACTCGTTAACACTCAACAGTCATCTTCGCTGCAAAAATATGTAATTAAGCCCCTGCATTTATATCAAAACGCCTTGTGTGCCATGTTAAGTTACTACCAGGTGGTGATCCGCAGTGTGTTGCA